CCCTCCCTCCCTCCCTCCCTCCCTCCCCCTCACCCCCATAAGCCCTCAGCAGGCGGGCTGCCGAGCATCTTATCCTCTGGCGGCGGGGGGTGGGCCTCCTCAAATTCACTCTCCCTCGTCAATATTGGGTCCAGATTAGGCAGATACCCTGACAATGGCCATCCACCCATCACATCCACAACCCCATTGCAGTCATGGCATCATCGCCCTCACCTTGCAGGTGGAGTTTGCCGCCGTGTCCAAGGTGGTAGAGGTACCTCTCCCGCAAGAAGTCCACAGTGGTCGCTCGATGCCAACGGTGGTGGGCACGCACTGGATCGATCATGGGAGGGGTGTCGGGCAGGGTGGGCAACGACGACGTCGCATACAGACGCTCGTTGCCCACTAAACAAACCAACACAAACACACACACACACAAGAACACAGATGATGCGATGCAGCCAGCAACCATGTGTGTCTGTTGTGTGTACCTAATCGAGGGTTTCTGCCCGACGGGCTCTGTGAATGTGCTGTGTGTGCCGCTGCGGGGTGGTGTTGGTATGGCGTGGGTGCCTCGGCGTCGGAGCCCTGTGCGATAGGCACATTGGTGCGGGCGCGGTCAAGCGACGCAGAGGTGTGGTTCGAAGACATGACGACACCAAAGGCAACTCTCGGGCTGTGCAGACACCCCTTGCTCTTGAGTGTCAGCCAAAGTCCACCTCGCTGAACCTCTTAAAGATCCATCAACGGGCTTTTCGCGTACGAACCGATGAAGCGTCGGCCGATAGACGAGTCGCAGGAGGCTGATGGTGTGTCTTCTACGGGGACGAGCAGTTCTCTCCGAACTGCGAGCTGATCTCGCAGATTTGCGAGCTCACAGCGATCGGCGACGTAAGGGACGATGAAGGTAAGGGGGCAGCGAGAGGAGCAAAGGAAGACTGTCGTGTGGATCTTTGAGAGCCCCCTGTGTTTGTGCACGTATCTACACTCATGCTTCACTCTGAGTTGCTGGTGGCCCTTCTTCCTCCTTGATCTGTCCATCTGAGCATCGAACGAGGTGAGCAGCACACAGATCTGTGAGCAGCACGCTCGATGAACATAATCCTCTGTGGGCTCTGTCGCTCTGTGCAGCCTCTCGTCGAGCGCCTCACTCATCTGACCGTCTTGGCCCATCCATCCCATGCAGCACCACGAGCAGCAGCAGCACCCCGTGTCATATGTGTGTGTGGGCCGGGCCGGAGGAACCGCTACCTCCTCAGCGTCAAGGACGTCGTGCGGCTGAGGGCCACCTGCACATGGCTCAGAGAGCTCTTCGGAGCGGCCCAGCTGAGAGATCGGCTCAGCTACTCGCTGGGCTCACAGGCGGGGCTGCGGCGGGCGGTGAATGGGCAGCAAGTGCAGCTGCTGCGGTTCGACGACGACCAGTTCGGCACACATGATCTGCTGGCGGCTGTGTGTGTGGTGGAGGAGGGGGACTGGGGCGAGATGGCTGAAGTGATTGAGCTGGCGGAGCAGTGCGGCAACTGTGAGCTGCCTGTGACCCTCAGTGGGGCTGACATCAACACACACGCAAACAGAACGGTGAGCCAGCAAACACACGGGAAGGGAGGGGCGGGGAGGGCCTCATTTTCTCTGTCTGTGGTGTGTGGTCCTGTGTGTGTAGGCGTATATGTCGGCTCCCCGTGTATTGGCGCAGCTCAAGATGGTCGGCCGCCACGTCCAGTTCAGTGACGGCAGCTGCCTGCAGCTGTTCCACTATGGCAATCAGTGGCGGGTCATCCTCGACGAGCCCGGCTTCCGCCTGCAGGTCGACGCGCCTCTCCCTACTGGTCACCTGTACCGACGGCACAGACAGCGACACGACCCACCAGTGCGGAACAGCATCAGCATCGTCTACTGGACCACTCCAGATGGGTATCGGGCCCGATGGGTGTCCAGCGGTGGCGGCCAGGAGCGCATTGATGCGTCAGTATCGTCGTTTGCCAAGTATCTAATCCTCTACCAGTTCAGCGGGACTCAGCAGATCAACATCGAATTGGCTCTACTCAGCGGGATGCGCACAGTACAAGTCGTTTATTGGTATCTGTCTCTTCAGGGATGTCATTGGCGGTCGTCTGGATGGCCTGCTGACCGAGTCGCCCCACGCACCAGTGGCCGGCTGTACGAGCACAGTGAGCTGGGACGGTGGTGTGCGACGACTGGTGTTCACTGACGGCAGCCACCCATTCGTCGCATCGATTGATATCGTAGATCTAAGAAACACCGGTCAGAATGACGTTCAGAATGAAAGACAACCAGCTGTGGTGGTCAAATGTGATTGACTTTCCTTATGCGTGCAGTGAGTCTTCTCCTCAGAACGACTGGCTTGCTCGCGTGGCATTGGGGGCGGTGGCGGTACTCGTATTCGACGGACGAATAGTATTCGACGCACATGTACAGCAGCAGCAACAGCAACAGCAGCAGCAACAGCAACAGCAACAGCAACAGTAGCAGCAGCAGCAGGACGATGACAATGACAATGATAATAGTATATATACATGGGTACATTCAAATATTCATCGGATATCATCGGATAGATAGAAGACGTCCCATGTAAGTGTGTATAATGTATGTGGCATAGATTCGGACGATGGTCTGGGTGTGTGCAGATGCCGACGATGGCAGCGGCGATGATGTGAGTGACAATATGAATGACGAGCTGCTGCTGCTGCGTGACCCAATGGCTCTCATGGCATATCTCATGAATGGCTGTCTCTGGCTGTGGCTGTGGCTGTGTGTGTGAGTGTGACTGCATCTGGTGCGGTCTGGTCCGCTGCTGGCCGATTTTGATGGGATGCTCCGGCCGATGTGTGAGTGTGTTAGGCTGCCTGGCTGAGTCACGTGCCAGCCATAACCCTCTTTCTCTCGATGACTGTGTGGTGGAGTGTGTCTGCAAGTGTGCGCCGCGGGTGACAGCCGTGGAGTGACCGAGTCGACTTAATGAATTACTTGCACACACAAATGGTCCGGTTCTTTAGGCTCACCACATAGACAGACACAGAGAGATAGAGAGATGCCGCCAACATCAGACATACCACTAATGCTGGCAGCAAGTATCTAAGGTGTCCCACCACAGCTCCACTTGTGAATGACAAGAATCCGCTCTTTGTGTTGTGTGTGGGGTGGAAGAGAGAGAGAATGTTTTGTCTTCTATCTGTTATCGTGTCTTGAGGTTTGCCTGCCTGTGTGTCTCTCTCCTCTCTCTCTCTCTCTCTCTGTGCATCTCAATCCTTGTCTGGCAACTCAAAATGGCACCTCAAGAGTATCAGCACACGAAACGTCTTAACGCGTTTTGCTTTCCGGGTGATAACAAAGATGCGGACAAGGGGGGGTGGATGAGTGAATGAATAGATACACACACCGGCTACCCCTCTTTCTGCCCTCTCTCTGTATACCCAGATATATGCGCATATGCATGAATGGATGGATGGATGGATGGAAGTGTCGATTTGTGGATGTGTATCGTTCTGTGCCTCTCTCTGGGGGGGAAACTGTCATTAACCGTAACACTCGTCTGTGTGTCCGTGATACTCATACAAATACAGTCCCATCAGCACGCAGACTCAAACAGGCTCAAGGGGAGGAGTTTAGTGCCTCTCTCTGTCGTGTGAGTGAATGACTGATGCATTCGTAAATGAATCGACGGTGGATGTGTATGTGTGACACGTTCTGACACATGTCTGACACACATATTTGGGAAAGAGCGAGGGAGAAGGGTCTGTTTGTTTGCTTCGCTGTTGATGTGCATCGAATGTAAGTGTGCTGACTGTTACCGGATCATTGGCTGGTCGCTGGTCACCCAACACGGTGTTCATTTTCACTCACTCACTATGTGCAGTGGCCATTAAGCGTATGACAGACACAGGGTTTAGGGTTTAGGGTTTTAGGGTCTGGGGTTTAGGGTTTAGCGGTTAGGTTTAGGGTTTAGGGTCTAGGGCTTTAGGGTTTAGGGTGTTTAGGGTTTAGGGTTTAGGGTTTAGGGTTTAGGGTTTAGGGTTTAGGGTTTAGGGTTTAGGGTTTAGGGTTT